TTAAAATTTATCGAAAAACTCTTCACTAGAAAAAAAGTTTTAATAAACAAAAATTCAAACCATTAATGATATTTTATTTACTCGACAATATTATAATACATACCTTTCATGCCACGAAATACAATCTGAACAGGTTAAGAAGAAATTCATAACTCACACATATATATGTATATATATATATATATATATGTATATATGTATATATATATAGTGTATGCAAAAGAAAAATGGACGAAGAATGTCGATGCCATTTTTCCAATGGCGGATGAAAGCGGTTGTAGACGGGCGGAAGTCGTCGATTGCCGGCGAGATGACTCTGACAGAACGCCTCGAGGCACGAAAATGGCGTATCATTGTGCATGCTCGACGCTGGTCGACCACCGGACCGTCCGCATTCGTCGTTGTGTAGACGCGGACCGTCTCGGGTTCCAGAGTTTTTATCGTGTGTTTTCACGTGTTGTTGGTGTCGCCTGATTCACGCAGACTCGCCTCGTGTGTCAGTACGAGTATTTATTATTAGAACACGAGTGCCTATCACTGTGTACAAGTAATCAGAAACAATGAGTCTCTTTGCGTCTGTTGCTCATTTCACCAAGATCTATCTCTTTACGTTGAGTTGGCGCGTGTGTAAAGTCGTTTTTCTCTTTTTCTTTTCTTTTTTTTTTTCGAGAAGAATTTTGCGATCGAAGATTTTGCGAAGTATTTTTTTTTTTTTTAAAAGATTATCCGACTCGTTGAATTTCTTCTTTAAAGATAAATCTGATAATCATATAGATATAAGTATTAATCAAAAGGAATAATAAAAACTAGTTATTTTATAGTAATTTAATATTAAGTAACTAGATAACTAAGTATCCAGTAATTATATAAGAAACTAGTTATTTTCTCACCGAAATTAAGTAGATTATTTCTTGTTGAAATGTTAAATAAATTATTTAATTGTATTCGCGAATTTATTTATATTGTTTATCTCTCGAATAATCTTAAAAAGTAATTTGAAAATTGCTTAAAACGCGTTTGAATCTGTACGCGATGCGTGTCAGCAGAAAAATTAACTTCTTATCGGGGAAAATCAAATATCACGTAATTTGTATATTCCATGTACGTATGTTTGTTTTAACGCGCTCGATAAGAAAATTCATGGGATATCGTTGCCCCATCGAAATCGAAACGATGTTTCGCATGCGTCAGCTCGCGTATCTCTCATCGTCACGATGCTTCTAATTTCTTCATATACAGTACTTTATTTTTCCATTTTTTTTTTTTACTTTTTCAACAAAATTCTACTGACTACTGTATCTATAATCTCAAAAAATTTCGAAAAATCTCAAGTGTCTGAGTCAATAAGTATTTTACCGATCGATATTTATCAACAGACGGTTGTAAATAACAGCTCGACAGCGACCAGTAACGAGCAACGAAAATCGATAACCAATCAAAGACTTACGCCTCCTTCGTCATAAAAGCGATGATCTTAGCGACCCTATATCGATCCTAGTGAATCCGATCGACTCGAACCGAGCCCAATAACGAATGATCGTTTTGTTTAAAGGTGCCCCACGAGGTATGTCTAGCACAGGTTCGCAAAAGAGTGCTCGAAAAACCCACCAGTAAGTCACCCTCGAATCTAACTATACAAAACACCACTTATATATAATTATATGTATATATATATACCTACATATATTTATATAGAGGTTGTCGTCTTGTTATTCGTAGCACAATTCAGACAGAGAGAAGGAATGATTTTCCTCGTGAAAGAGTAGGTAGAAAAAAAAAAAAAAAAAAAAAAGTAAAATTCTTTTATTTGAAGCTTCATTTTTGAATGAATCTAGTATTTGAAAATGTTTCAAATACACGTGAAATTGTTTAGATACGAATGAACCATCGATAGGAGATTATATATCTGTGTGAATATAAGCAAAAAATGTAGAATAAGATTTCATCGTTTAAATCCTTACTTTTTGAGAAAATTGAATTATATAATTATATCGTATATGTAATCGATGAATTTTCGAATTCAATTTTTTTCTTAAAAAATTTTTAAACAAAAATAATTTATCTTTACACTTTTTATTTTATCCTTTTATACATATACATTTATCTCCTATCGATAAATTATTTCAATAATTTTTACCATATATCGATAATTTATTCGTATCTAATCAATAATATTATCCAATAATATTTTTCACATCCCTTGAAAATTTTTCAAACTCATATTCATATTCGATTTATATTCGAAACCAAATCTTTAAATAAAAAAAAAATTTAATTTTTTCCTTTCGACTTATTTTTTCACGAGAAAAGAAATCATCAAAAATCTTGCCCGATTGTACTACAATTAACACGACACCCTGCATATAAATCTATAAATATTAATGTACATTTGGAGGTATACTGTATACGATTGTTATACACCCATCTTTAGCGTGAACAAGAGACGACACACGTACAAGGATCGTCGAACGATCCCGGGACCAAGGGGCGGCCATAATGAGAGGACGCTATTCGACCTCCCACCTACTCTTGATTTCAGTTAATTCCTCCCTGAAATCTTTCTCTCTATCTCTATCTCACTCCTAAGTACTAAAGACACAACATGTATTCAACACGTATTCAACACGTATCACAACACGTATCTGTCCATTGCAGATGTTGTCCATTTGCCAGCTCGGTGAACGATGCTCTTCGTACGTAACAGCATCGACGATTTAGCTGCGAATCTTATATATATATATATCTTCCGCTATTCCTCTTTCCTTAGCTTCTTTGTCTTCCAGTAATACCAGTCTCTTACCACGCGCCGACTATTTCTCATCCAGAATCTTTGTGGAGGATACTGAAAGATTTACATATCTTCGCTTTCGTTTTGTTTCCCTACAAGAAGACGAGATTTTGATAAATTTCGGTGTAGATTCAGTGCTTCTCAACTTGTTGGTTGCGAAATAGTTTTGAATTCAAATTGTTATTTTAATTCTAAAATAAAACGTTGATTTTTTTCTCATCTTTAATTTAAACAGTGACTGTCAACCTGTGTAAAATTTTATTATATTTAGTTAAAAAAAAAAAAAAATAGTCGTTTTAGTTTTAATCGTAGCGAAATCGTCGTGAAATTACATCGTAAAATAATATCATAATGGGTATACCGTTTATTTTCCATCGATAGATCTAGCGATGTTCACCGGGCACGTAGGCAAGTATATAGTAAGCTGGCCGTGAGTTTCGTCCTAATTTATTACAAGGACGTTGTGAATTAACAAGTGACGATGTAAAAGGTCGCGAGTATATACATACTTTCTCGCGATTGATGACACTCGTAATCACAATCGTACGTACACTTTTTCGTAGGCAAATTACACGTTTATCTTTATTCTCTCACACCAAAGGTCGCGTCTCTCGTTCAAGGTTTGTAGTCCATTTCCAATTAATTAACATTTTATAAAACTGAAAATTGTAATTAAATAAATTTTAAAGTGAAAAGATCCGTCTACAATTTATCAAAAAAATATTCGTGTATTTCGAAAGGTTGGAAAAAAAAATTTTATAAAATTTTAAAGTGGATAGAACAAATGTGAAAATATCGAAAAATCAGAAGTGAGAAAGTTTATGCAGGAAAGATTAAGGGACGCAGAAAATGGGGACGGCAGAGATGACGAAGCAGAAAGAGGGATGAAATTGATAAAAATGTATGGCAGATCGAAGGACATTTATCATTGGACGTCCTTCCAATGATGAAAACATGCGTTGACGTGCAATTTAATCCCCGAACATAATAAATTCCTCTTTATTCTTTCTCACGTGTTTGTCCACTTGGTCAAAGTACATTTCTACATATTCCTTGGAGCAATGTCGTGAAGTAAATCGAGTTTAAAGTTGGATTACAAACTTTTCACGCCAGATGGCGACCTATTCATACTAAATTCACGCCCAATTAGCTCTAGCCGGTATACAGTATCGCCAGAAAATGCCAAGTAGCAATCGAAACGAACGAATTTGGGCATCGAAGACGAGAAGGCACGTATTTATATAATTTTCACGCAAAAATTAATTTACAGGTGAAAAAAATATAAATGAACGTATTCCTCGTCCTCGATGACTCGTTACGTGTGTATTGTTAATACTCAACCACCAGGACACGACATACTCAAAGTTGGATGGTATACAATCGTTGATAAAATAATTGTAACAAGGTACACACTTTGTCCTTTTAAAACTATTCATTATCAGGTGTCACTTTAATATAAAGATAATTTCCGATTTCCTCTTTTCGTATCCTATCATTAGAATAAACTTTTTTTTATCATTAAATAATTAAGATTAATTTATAATTTATAAAAATAGGCACGAATTAGCAGAATTTATCAGAATTTATATGCAACTGATCTCTCTTCTTTTTCTCTCTATTATCTATTTCATTCTTTGAACTGCATCACGATCAAATTTCACGTACACTCTAATCGAGCACTGCTTCAAATACAATACATCAGATGTCAGCACTCGACACACCTACACTTCGAATGGTGGTGGCATGAGTTTATACAATCTACAATATAAAAGTAATATTTTTACACGCATTTTAATCGTTAAAGCTTCGTTAATTAAATTATTTCAAAGTCCAAATACATGTGCAATTTTCAATCACTTGTTGTTAGAATTTTGAATATCCAGGATATATCCAAAATGTAGAATAGTAATAGAAATCATCGTATGCTTGTGAATCCATTCGCATCGTGTATATTGGTTCGTTAGTAATTAAGTAATTGCTTTTGAGTGCTGATAGCATGACGGTGAGTGAATAATCATCTTATCTTGCAGTAAGAATATTTATACAATTTTTTTATAATTGTCAAATGTAATCTGAACGAGTTGCAAAGCTTTTAAAAAAGAACATAAACAGAAATTATTTTCAACAAATCAATTTCAACAGACATAAATTCCATATTCTTTCTGCAGGCGTACAACGTAATATCTACTGTGTAAATAGCTATTTAGTTTATCGACTGTGTATCGATTAATCGATGAAACGATATATAGAATCTAGAATCAAACAACAATCGAATCGCAATTTCCTCCGATCAATGACAGTTTTCTTCGTTCTGTTGTTGTTGTTCCGGGTATACAGAAACACCATTATGGCTGCTTCTACAAATAGCGCCAATAAAGAACGAACGGGACCTAGTGGTCCTGTTCCTGTTGACCTTCCGGGACATCACTGCCCTGAAGCAGCCAATCGAGGCAGACGACAGCAAGGGTGGCCTCTCCAAATTCGCCAAGCTCGCCAGATCGGTCACCAGGTCGAGATCTGTTCTTGTCTCACAATTCAGCTCCCATCTGCCCGCCCTCAAGGATTCCGCGTTGCCAACCACCGCGAAGCAATCACACTTAGCTCACGTAAGATTTATTACGTACTTATATCTTTCTTCCTCGTGATTTCAATTCAAATGTTTAAAATTTGGAATTTCTTCCTTTTTTCCTTTTTATTTAATTCTAATTGGAAAAAAAAATTTTGATATTTAATCAAAGATCATTCGCATTTATATATACGCGGTGGTGAAATGTATTCGTCCTCGTTTCGAGGAGATTTGCATCGAAATGTTAACAGATCCGCAGAGGATTTGCACGTGTTCGAAACTATTGCTGGATTTATGTAATCGTTGATATTTAAATGCGCATCCCGTTTCCCGTTTATCATTCGATTTCGGCTCTATTTGAAATATTTATCAAAACTGAATGGGGTAAAATCGCTGGGAGAGAAAAAGAATGAACAAAACATTCGTGCGAAATAAGGTAAAATAGATAAAATAAATAAAAATAAAAAAAAAGGGGGGAAGGATAAAATTGATAAAATTGATTCTCTTTCAGATGATGTCCTTAAGCGGCGACGTGATGCCGCAGTACAGACAAGAGGCGCCAAAGACCCCGCCGCACATTTTGTTACATTACTGCGCGTTCAAGGCGATTTGGGACTGGATCATTTTATGTTTGACTTTTTACACGGCCATCATGGTGCCCTACAACGTCGCGTTCAAAAACAAAACCAGCGAGGACGTGTCCTTGCTGGTTGTCGACAGCATCGTTGACGTCATATTCTTCATCGACATTGTCCTCAACTTTCACACCACGTTCGTCGGCCCCGGTGGCGAGGTGGTGTCTGACCCTAAGGTAGCGATCTTACAATGTTGTTTTCAGGCTCACCTCCATTTATCCTATGTATATACAGAAATAAATTTTAATAATTTTCTGTATATAATAAATAATTGCAAATAAATATTTCTCTGATGATGATGACAATCTACAAGTTAATCATCATAACTCGGATAACTTTATTATCTTCATTCACAGGTGATACAAAATTCTATGCAAATAATGACAATAATTCTTACGGGAAATAATTTAAAAATTGCTTTACGATCCACGGATTGATTCAGATATCTAATATCGTTATTATAGAGAGTG